AAAAGGGGGGGGGGGACTTTCCACCTGCTCTGCTGTCTATTCAAGGTTTATAAATATTCAGAAGTCATTTTACATCTAGGTGTGAATATTAAAATACAGCTTTGTTTTAATGTACAATATACTTTTGTGAGTCATGCATATAAAATAGTACTATTAGGAAAACTTTATAACATAGTGATTACCTGCCTTAAAGGAAAATGTAATTATAAAACAATAAGGCCAGTTTTAAATTGTGCATAGAAACAGTAATTGTGTCTTTAAGGCAATTAAAAGATTTATTCAGTCTTGGTTAAAAGTAGACTGACAGTCACATTAAAGAATGAAGTGGAATTTATTTGGCGCTGCTTTGCTGCTCTGTAAATGACTCTAAGTACAAATCATCTGAGATACAATGTAATTTCCATCACAACTCAAACACAAAACCACAGGGCTGTCTTCCATACACAATGGTTATATGTTTAAAAGAAAGAAAGAAATCTAACAATCAATATTGTTAAGGTGCAGTAATTTTTTCAATAAAATATTAGCACCATACCAGATAAAATGATCTGAAACTACTGGCCTTCTTCTTCTTCTTAAATAACTAAATAGAAACATTTTTTTCCTCAGAGCATAAATATTAATTTGCAAAATTAGTTCTATAGTAGTTAATGTGTATTTCCTTGCTTGTTTTTTTTTTTTTTTTTTTTTTTTTTTTTTTGCATGGTTCCCCTGTAAGGAAAAACATGAAGTAAATACTTTCACAGGATATGAAAGTCAAATGAATCTGAGTAGACCAAGTCCATGCCTTCAGCAGTGAGTTCCGACTGACGCGAACGTGGACATCTCCCTGCGGATGGTGCTGAAGGGCGAGAGCTCTAGCTCCGTGGTGTATTCGTCGTTGTCATCACTGGCCACCGTGGACGACTTCTGGACACACTCCTCGCAGCAGCAACAGCAGCACTCCATGAAGGCCCTGCTGAAGGGTTTGCAGAGACAGAAAAGGAGCACCGGGGTGACACAGGATTTGAAGAACAAGAGGAACTGGCTGATGATGGTCAAGAGGTCCATGGTCTGCTGAGAAACCCCTGTGGCCATGTAGGCCGTAACGATGTTGCAGATGTTCTCAGGAATGATGCAAAACCCGTATAAAATGGTCAGGGCCACCACTGTGCAGTTCATCTGGCTCTCCAGCTGAATCTGCCGCTTGTTCCCTCGGGTGCAGGCCTTCTCTGCCTGGCGGATCTTCCTGGCAGTCACTAGAGAGCAGGTGATGGTGAAAAGCGTAGGCAGGCAAAAGTAGCAGCCGAAATACCACCAGAGCCTCGCACTGTCATAGGTGAGAGCTAAGACATAGATGGTGTCCGGTAAATCCGGAGAAATCTTTATGACGCACCGTTCCGCGGGAGCTCGGCCACTAAACCCCAAATCCTCCTTGCTCAGCTGGCGGAGGACAACTTCCGGAAGTGCCAGCAGCAGGGCGCCAACCCAGATCACTGCAAGTTTGGCAGTGGTGGAAGAACAGTTTTCGATCATTTCGTAGTACATCTGAACATTGGTGGCCGCCCGGAAGCGATCTATGCACAGCGCACATAAGGTGAAGGTAGTGACGCCCAGAGAAGCCACCTGTGGGGGACACAAAATACACAGGTTCTGAGAGCTCAAAGTGCTGGGCAATAAACCCAGGAGGGAGGAGAGGTAGACAAGATAGTGTGGAAGGGAAGTGGGGAAGGCGGTCACAAGGGAGTGGGAGATGGGGAGGAAGGGCAGGGGAGGGGAGAGAAGGACAAGAGGGGAGCGAAGAGCAAAGGCCAGAACAGGAGAAGGGGAAGGGAAAGTAGGCTAGTCACTTTACCTAAATCATTGTGAGCCTAAGGGAAAGTAAAATTGTAAAGTATAATTGTAGTATTTCAGGGGTGATGTACACACACCCACATTAGAAAGAGAGAGAGAGAGAGAAAGAGCCAGAAGCATCTATAAAGGTCAGGCAAGTCCAATGCTATTTTTCTTTTACAGATAAGAACCTCTGAAGGCTCTAAGAATTTCAGACACCATGAAAATGCCAGCCTTTACGAGGACATCTAGATATGGAACAAAGACTGGCTAGTGTCTCATTTTGATTATTGAAAAATGATGCATTCCAGGGTGGGGGTCAGAACAGTGCCTGCAAGGAGCACTCAAGAGATTATTATTTCCCACAAGCTCAATGACTGCCGGTGTCTCCTAAATGCGAAAATATATCTTTACTGTTCTTTTCAAAGGCAGACACTTCTGAAAAACATGCCAGAGAAATTCTACACAGTCCTAAATCATTGAGAAAACAAATTCCAATGTGGCCACTAACACACCCTCCTTCCCATGAGGCTTCCCAGGCAGTTTGGTGCCTAGTGCCTGCCAGGTTTTCAGGTATATAGAGGTAGAAGGCAAACTTGGGGCTAAAGTACATAAGAGAGAATTGGCAAGATGGCTCAGTGAGTGCTTGCTGCCCAGGCTGATGAGTTTGATCCCCTGGGACCCACCTGCTAGAACAAGAGAATCGAAACTTGCAGCTTATCCTTTGAACTCTACTCACTCCATTCTGTGGCGCACACACATATGTGCACATGCATACATAAACAATAAACAAATAAATAATAGGTAATTTAATTTTTTATATGGATAGGGTTTAGGACAAAGACCCCTTTATGAATTTGACATTAATGAATACCAACAACCTTAGGAGTATAAAGCACAAAAACAAAATATGTGAGGAACTTAACCACATGATAAGATCTGGGCAAATTGGGGAGAAAAGAGAGAGAAAAAATGCATTATTTAAAGCTAGACTTTTTACATGGCATGAGCTCTAGAATTTAAACCAATTGCAGAGCTTGAACAGATCCAGAATGGAATTCAAAGTCATTTCAGATAGGGCAAGCACAAACCCTCTGGAAGAATGCACTGCATAATCATGGTTCAGAGGAACCCTTATAGAGTTTAGGGAATATGATGCACAGCATGAGAACCATGATTCAGAAGAGACAACCACCTCTATGAGTTCACATGCTACAAAAACAAGTTACAGAGTAAAGCATCAAATCATGACTTCACCATGAAAAAAAGTACTCAAATTCAAACATCCTCAAATGTAAAGAGAATGAGATGCTGAAATAAATAAGGCAAAAATATTGCATATAAATCTAACCAAGGAAAATCCATAAAGGAGCTGAGTGGGATGTCTAGATGTCCCAGTACAGGAACCGTTCACATCAGAAAACATTTAACAATGGTCATGTAGGGAACTCTATCAAAAGTCCTTATTCCGTGTGCTTAAGGTCCAGACATAGAAGTAAATGAGCAGTTAGAGCTAGAAACATATGTCTGTCTTCTTCACTACCAAGTCTTCTCCAGGAATGTAAATACAAGTTCCTAATCTAAATATGTGACAACCTTTAATTTTGGTTGTCAGCTTAACCAGAAACACTGGAAGGACCACCAAAGCACATGTGTGCTTGTCTCTGATGACACTTCCAGAAACAATTAGATCACAGGGGCTCTCACTTAATGAAAGGGTTAATCCCTTAATGGATTCATAATGTAGTGGCTTTATTGACAACTTGTCAATGGTAGGAGGTGGGGCCTAGTTGGAATAAGAAGTTGTCCACTTCTAAGGTCACAAGAAGTGAGCTAAATCTCACCTAACTTCTTCCTGTTTCCTTCTTTATTTGCTTTCTTTGCCATGGATTCCCGCTGCCATGATGCTCTGGCTCACACCTAAGCCACTGGGTCCCACCATGATGCTCTGCCCTAGCCTCTGCCACAGGCTCCCTCCACCACAATGTTCCACCCAAGCCTCTACCACAGGCTCCTACCACCATGATACTCTGCCCAAGCACAGGAAACCAAATAACAATGGAATAAACCTTCCAAAACAATGAGCCAAAATAAATGTGCCCTCCCTTAAATTGTTCCTATCAAATATTTTGATCACAGCATTGCAAAAATTACCGATATACAGTTACTATCTTTTGTCTGTAAAATGCTGATTAAGCATCATATATATTTGAATGAGGCAAAGAGATATATATCCAACACGAGTACATATTTGTTGATACTAACTCTAGGCCAAGTACTGTAGTTGATACTGAAGAAATATGAAGAAGCAGCGGTCTCTGAAGGAGATCATAGTCAACTACGAGGGAAGCAGTGCTCTTGGAGTCACAATTTGAGCCCAATAATTGCCCAGGAGCATAAGGTTTACTCAGATACTTGTTTTGAAATGTAAATAATTTAGTGTTTTATACATGTAATCATTACTCATAGATTTAAACAAGGACAGTAAATGAAACTTAAGGTATTAATGACATTTTAGATAAAACATGACACTAAAAAAAAAGTCTTCATGTGGTTGGAATGCTTTGGCCTTTGCCCCAGACCCCCACCTATGTGTACACCTCCTTTCTCCTTCTCACGGCAATATGCTAAAAACAGTTGTATATCATAACTTGGAAATAGGGAAAGGAAATAAAATGTATCATGTTAATATCAGTTTCTAGAATTTAAGGATCATGACAGCAAAATGAAAGCTATTTGCCACATCATAGAGTGCTCAGACATTTGCTGTGTATCTTCTGCCTTCAAGCCGCCACTGTCCCTGGAGCTGTGCCAACCTGCTTCACGGGGTCCGTCAAATACTCTCTCTGCTTCCCACACACAATACATCACACTGTCCCTGAGTTCTGATATGGAAGTAAGGACACTGGACCCATATTGTGACCATTCTTATCATTACTGGAGGACAAAAATCTGCAAATGAAGTACAATATGAAAAGCAAAAGACAAGAAAAACACATAAAAATATTTAAATCAATGCAGACAAAGAGTCTTTGATTGAGCTTATGGCCATAATTATTGTTCTCTGAAATTTTCAGTCTTCCTTAAATATCATATATATACATACATATGCATATAATCTACTGATCCACAATGATATATTTTTTAACTGTTATGTGTTTGAGTGTATTGCCTGCATGCAGGTGCACCCATGTTGTGGTCAGAGGTCAGAAGAGGGCATCAGATTCCCTGGAACTGGAGTTATGGACAGTTGTTAGCTGCATTGTGGGTACTGAGAATTGAAAATTGAACCTGGGTCCTCTGCAAGAGCAGCCAATGCTCTTAACCTCTGAGCCATCTCTATAACCCCAATAACGACACATTTTTAGTGTCAGTAATCACCAGTCTTAGGAGAAATCTGCAAAAGTTTTGTCATTATCCAAAGATTTCCATCAAACAATATCATGTGGAAATTATAGTACTCTATTTTATAGATCTTATAAAATATCTTTTTCTATTTAAAAGTCTTGAAATGTTTTTGATTAGTTTCTTTTAAGAATGTAAAACACGGAGCTGGAGAGATGGCTCAGCAGTTGAGAGCAATGACTGCTCTTACAAAGGACCTGGATTCAATTCACAGCACCCACATGGGGGCTAACAACCATCTGTAACTTAAGTTCTAGGGGATCCAATGCCCTCTTCTGACCTCCACAGGCATTACACAACACAGGTGCACTTACATACTTTCATATACTCATAAAATAAAATAGTAAATACAATACTTTTTTTAAAGAATACAAAACAAAACAATTCTCAAACCCTCAAGTATAAGCAAATCCTGAAGGAAGCTTTATATGTAGTCTCAGTAAGGCAAATCTTTGCTCACGGTACTTTGTCATCATTGTTATAATATATTCCCAGTCAGTCCACATAATATATGCCCAGTCAGTCCACAAATATAAATATCCTGAGACATTATGCTGTTCATCCTTTATAAATTATGCATAGCATTTCTACTGAAAGGAAAGTTCCATAATATAGAAGCAACAGAGACTCTGAGAAGATATAGTGTTAGAGGCTCAGCACATCTACTTGTTGGAAGCTTTCTGTCATTACTTACGAAGAACATAAAACACACAGTAGATAGCATCTTAGCTCTTATTCTCCCTAATTATAAGCTTAGAGATTTCCAAAATGTGGACCAGTTATGACAAGTGCTAGCATTTTCATCCCTAACACCAAGTCCGTTAAAGAGCACTTCCTGAGAATCAGAACAAATGCATGTGGGTGGATGTGTATTAAATGGGTGTGCTGGAGTGCCAGCTCCGGAGACTGCAAACGCTGTGCTGCTTAGTGAGAACACACTCCTGGTCTTGAAAGAGCAAAACATTTTCCATGTTCCAAACAGTGCATCTCACCAGATAACAGACAGCAGGGCAAAGTTTAAGTAGCATATATATGTGCACCAGCTCTTCCCTCCAGAACTTTTTTTTTACTTTATTATACTTGAAAATGGTCAAACATATTTCTGAGGCTTCAGTATCAGGTTAGAATATGAACTATGTCTGATTCTGTAGTTGTCTTAAGAGATAATGCGTAGGGGAATCCTTCCCAGCTTTCATATGGAAAATTCAAGTAACTCCTAGATCTAGCTTCTTATTTCCAATTTGTACTTCTGTCTGATAGCATGTTCTACAGTTAATATTCAGATGAAACACAATGAATAGCATGGAAAGGTTACAAGAACATCAGAAAAGTTACAAAGGGGAACAGTGGGGAAAGCTGTAATAACCCCAAAACTGACAGCCCCTCAA